TTTAATGCATCATGGATTACAGCAGGCATACTTAATACACTCATGATATAAAGAAACATTTCCTGAATTTTGGTGCCTGTAATTTTTTTGTGTTTTTGTGGACCATCATTTTTTATGTCACAATTTTTGTTACCACTCCTATCTCTTAAGTCTTCAAATGACACTTGACTGAATGGAAACTTTGTGAGGCCCATACTACAAGAGGTGTTACTTGGGTGTAGAATTCATGGGACTAAACCACTGACAGCTGTGCTGTCAGTGTACAGTGCAGCACAAACAGCCTACCTGGACAAGAAGTGTTCATTAAGATCTCCATTGCTGGACAGGAGAGATTGGGGCCGATCGTTCTACAGGAAATCAGGTCAAGAAATTCAGGCTGGAATTTGGGTTTTGTAGGGTTATGACAGTGTTCTAGAAGATTATATGACTGTATTTGAATTAATGTAAATTTTGTACAGAAATAAATTTAGATTTCTGTATATGAATAAATGTAGATTATTGTACAGGAAATACTAAGACATCCACTGAAAATAAACCCTAGTGCATTATTTGGAGCAAAAATAAATATAAGACCCAGTCTCATTTTGGGGAAAATATGGTAGAAATGAGGGAAGGAATAACCAACAAAGATAAGAAGCAAAGTCTTATAGGGGGAGAAAAGACCAGTATAGGAGAGGTAAGATTTGAGTTGCAAAATGCCAGCCCTGTCATTTTGTGGTCTTACTGATATCATCAAACATTTCTAGGATTTCCACCCAGTTTCCAAATTTGTTAAATAAGAGATTTAATCAAGATGACTTTCAAAGATTATTTATCAATTTCCATTTGAAGTTTCAAGCAAAAAAGGAACAAGTTTCAAAATATTTAGATTAAAATGAGTGTATATATCTCATGTATTTACTCACCATTTTAATGCCTGCATATTTTGTCCATGGATAGTGGAGGTAGGGAGAAAATGACCTCTATTATGAGGCTTTGATATTTCACATTGTTCACAGATAACTACAAGGTCCATAAATCTCAAGAAAAAAGAAGGTCAAAGAGAAGGAGAAGGAACAAGGGGGAATGAAAGAGGTAAGGAAGAAAGAGATTATTTGTAACCTGGAGCATGTAAGGGAATGGAGAAGACTGTGGAACAACCCACTAACAGCTCTCAGCAGTCTTCCATTGTAGGCCTCCACACAGATTAAAATGGAAAGCAATTCATCAGTCACCAGAATAGTAACGGTCTTAGTTCATCTATTAGATGCCACTCTTTTTAACCAAGGTAAACTTTGGCCTGATGACCAAGCTAGCAGTACAACAGTTAAGCAAACTTTAAGAGCTTAACTCTGTGATGACTGACTAACTGTATAACCTGGGGCAGAGTTGTGAATCTCCCAGAAATCCAGTCCCTGCATCTGTAAAATGAAAGTATTAATAACACCTACATCATAAGGTTACTGCTGGTTTTGATTCTTGATTTGATTTAGAGACTATAGCACTGATGATTGAATCATAAGGACACTAAACTCACCAAAGGATTAATCCTTTAATAAGATCACCAGTAAGTGGGCTTTTAGGAAGTAAGGCCCATTTGAAGGAACTGCGCCCTACAGGCTGTGACCTTGGCAACTATATCTGATCCCTGAGCCCCTCTTCTCAGGCTCTTCCTTGGTTCTCTTGGTTCTGAATGTCACGAGGTGAGCAGCTTTCCTCTACTATACATTTCCACCAAGAGGTTTTTTTTTTTTTTTAACCTATGATCAATAGGTCACAGACTGAAACATCTTAAACCATGAACCAAATCTCCTTTAAATTATGTATGTCGGGAGCCCTGTTGCAGTGATGGAAAAGCTGAGCAATACAGTCATTTAAAAGAATATCCATTTAAATTCTTGATGATCTGGACATTGTACTAAATGCTAAACTGCTTAGATATTATTTTTCTCTGAAACAGTACATTGTATTAGACTAATCCTAACCTCAAGATATCCTGTTACAGTAGGATATTGAATTAAATTATAAGTTTTACTTTAATTATTTGCCTAACTTTGTGGGGGTATTTAGGAGCTTCCAGATGTAAGAGAATGTGATCAGTATAAATGAAGATAGCTTTACTCTTACCATCCTAATTTGGATGCCTTATATTTTTTTCTTGTGTATAACTAGAATGTCCACTGATATGTTTTTCTCATTTAAAAAATGCTGGATTTTATCATGCTTCTCCTGCACTAGTTGAGGTAATCATGTTTCTTCCTTCCATTCCATCAAGGTAGTGTTACACTGATTTTTGAATGTTCACCCTCGCAGTCCTAAGATAAATCCCATTTGGTTTCTGTGCATAAATCTTTTAATAAGGTGCTGAATGCAGCTGGCTTGTACTGCTTGCATTTGGCATGAACATTCAGAAAGTGTATCAGTCTGTAGTTTTTTTTCTTCTAGTGCCTGTCTGCATTCTGTATAACTCTAGCATCAGAGAATGAGTTAGAAAGTATTCAATTTTTTGAAGAATTTGAGGAGTGTTGTGAAAATTATTTTTAAATACTTGGTAAATTTCACCAATAAAGCCATCTAGTCTCGAGTATATTGGCTGTCATTTACAGTATTATTAACTCACTCTTCTTATTCATTATAGCTCTATTTTCTATTTTTTTATGTCACTTGTATTAGGTAGGTTGTTTCTATGAATTTTCCCACTTTGTCTAGGTTTTCCATATTTTTCATGCAGATATTTATGCCACTCTTGTAAAATTCTTATTTTTGTAAAGATACTGTAAGATTTCCTTTGTAAATTTCTAATTTATTATTTGGGTCTTCATTCTTTTAGTCACCTTAGCTAAGAATTTAATTTTATTCATGTTTCCTAAGAGTTAATTTCTGGTTTTATGTTCTCTTTTGTTTTTGTATTTCACTTATCAATGCAATCTTTATTTCCTTCCTTCTGCTAGCATTTAGTATGTGTTGCTCTTCTTTTTGTAGTTTCCTAAAGTATATAGTTTTTGAGATGTTTCTCTTTATTAAAGGTATAAATTTTCCTTGGAGCATGGGTTTTTACCCCGTAAAATTGTTTTGATATGATGTTTGCATTTTCATGCATCCTTTTTTCTAACATTCTTTGTAAATTATTTTATGTATAGATCAAGTTGTTTTCTATCATTTTATTCTATAGTAGCCATAAAAGATACTCTGTATTACTCTAATTTTTAAATGCTATGTGATATTTCCTTTACACTCCATATTTTACTTTGCAGTGTTCCACGTGTACTTGAGAGTATGTATCCTGTCGTTATTGGGGGAAGTGTTCTGCATATTTCCGTTAGGTGTGGTTGATTTACAAAGGTGTCAAAATCTCCAATTCCTATCAAACTCTCCAGTCCTATCTGTCTGTTTTATTGTTGAGGACTGAGATCAGCAGTAATTAGAGTAAACTGTTACTTCCTTAAATTCTGTCAATTTTTGCTTAATCTATTTAGGGCTTTGTTGTCAGGTGCATACAGGCTTATAATTATGCTTTTTTGGTAATCTGAATCTTTTATCAATATATTATATTTTGTCTCTTGTAACCTCTTTTGACATTTTTTTCCTGGCAACATAGCCATACTCCAAATATCTTTATTTACATGGAACAATTTTTCCCTAACCTTGACTTTTAATTTGCTGTCTTTCCAAAGTTGAGTCTTGTATGTACGTTTTAATTCAATTTCTGCCTTTAATGAGATATTTTAATTCATTTATATTCAAATTACAGATAAGACTTTTCCCATTTAATTTGTTTTCTGTATCTTTATTACTCAATTTCTGCAAATTGTCAGGGGTTTTTTCCTTTATTCTTAGTAGCAGGTGCTTTTTTATATATATCATTTTGTTTTTCTTTTTCTGGTACATTTTAAAATTTATTTTTAGCATTGCTATCATAGGTTCCAACTAAGTCTTCAGCATAAAACCATGTCTGAACAATAGCAAATTAAATACACAGTACACATTCCACTGCTATATATCCATTCCACAACCTTTACACTGATTACATTTTTATATATTGCGTGTCCATTAAAAGATTTACAATTATTTTTATGAATTTGCTTTTTGAAGTATATAGGAAAGAGGAATCATAAAACAAAAGTACATTTTCATTTACACATACACAATTTTTATAGGTGCTACTGTCTATGGCCCTTTCTTAGCAGTATAAAGTGCTTAATATTTCTTGAAGGAATTTCTGCTAGTAACAAAGTCTTTTAGCTTTTGTCTGGAAATGTCTTAATTTCTCTTTCATCCTTATAGTTTTGATAGAGTTCTTGGTTAACAAGGTTGTTTTAAAATTTCCAGTATATCATTCCAGTGTTTTCTATGGAATAATGTCTACTCTATTCCTTCTAGAACCAAGGACCAGGTCCCACACCGGCACATGAGCTACCATTTCCAAGATTGTAACTAACTGTGGAAGATGGGAGCAAAACCAAGCTAAAATGCTGCAAAGCTTTTCTTCTAAGCATATTAATTTTTTATTCAGTGGTCATTTGGGTGCCATAAGCCTTTATTTTCTAGTTTTGACAGTGTTGGTTTGAACAGCTTCTGGATTTTTGTTTTTGTATTATATTTCTAAAGAGGGACAAGAATTTGGGGCTATCTATTCACTATTTTGCTACTATTCTGTCCTCCCTTGCTTAATATAGTACACCTACAGCTACTTCCTCCTTAGCAAAGTAGTATTTAGTCAAATAGGACTCCTCCAAATGTCATAGGAGTATTGTGACAATAAAATATTGATATAGTTATAAATTTTACTAAGTACAATGCATTCAAAACCTTATTTTAGGAAATGTTTTGTTAGGCACATCAACTTGTCTCATGAGCCAAATCACTTACAATGCTTTTACGATGCTAAAGGATTTTTTTTTTTTAAAAACAGTGCGAAAAGCTTAATTTTACACATTTTTCTTAATTTTAACTTCTATCTTAAAAGTATACCTTATCTTTTATCAACAGTCCTCTAACACCAGAAAGAAAAAAAATACTCATGTTATTCAACATTTTATTGAACTTTTCATATTACACAAATTACTGCCCCAAACATTAAAATCCCAATGAGACAAAAACAACTTAAAAAAAAAAAGACATCTGATAAAACAGCTCAGGTAATATCAAATAAGATTCACTGTTAAATCATACATTTTTGTTTCTCTGCTATACAATTTGGTACATTGTAATGATACTCAGTGACTCAAAAAGTAAGACATTACACATTAGACAGAGAGACGGATGGAAAACCAGAAGAGAGGGAGGGACAGACAAATTCAGTATTACACAATTCTAGTGCAACATGAAGTTACTAAGGGAATTTTTTTTTTTTTTTTTTTTTTTGCTTATATACTTTTTCAAAATAATACAAAACCTGAATCTTCTCAAGAGCTGGCAGAATAATCTTTTCTGTTCCTCAAGGTCTATGAGCAAACTGAAAAAAAAAAAATAGCTCCATAATCTCAGTTCACAAAAGATCAAAACAGATACATGAATATGTGGACAGAAATATTGAAACATTTGTGCCCCAACAAATACAGTGAATGCTCTGAGCAGCTGAAACAAAGCCAGTGCTGTAGAGTTGTAATGAGGCGTAGCTGCATAAGTGAACACAATTTTTTACCTTTCCAGTTTCATAACGAGGCAGTGCCTAAGTTATAAAAAACTCTGATCTACAACCCTTTCTAAATTAGATCACTTTAAATGTATTATCTAATGCTGGGTGTTTGGAAGGTTAAATAAATATCATACTAATTTAGGCATCAAAAGTCTATAAAATAGAGAAGGGCACTCTAGGAAAGTATATATGCAATTTAACAGCTTGATTCATAAATTTAAGTAGGTTAAACTTTATCAGTTTTAATTTAATCACTTTCAGAGAATTTTACTCCTAGTAAGAAACCCTATAATGTAAGACAAGCATGTCATAAGCACCATGGCCAAAATTTGGGTTGCAATAAGATCTGTAGATCTATAAACCAATAAACAGAATCACAGCAACTTTACGAATCATACTGAATTTAAGAATACACTAACACCTTAATATGGGTATTAGATTTTGGCACCAAAATTAAAGAAAAATAGTGATTTTAAAGAAAGAGTACCTGATAACTATATATTATTTTTTAAATTCACTGAAAAATATTTAAGTGCTAAAATTTAAGTGCTTTATTTTCAAAAACTGTATTTCAATTTGTTTCAAAAAGCAATAGAAGTATTCATATTTTACCATTTTCAATTTTGGTTTTCATGTTAATTTGTGTTCTCTCTAAAGAGAAAATTAGACCAACTTAACAAAATTGTGTGTGAGTCAGCCTGTCTTATGATTCTATAAACACATTTATGTAAGTTTATACTCATGCTTTCAACAAATGCTGAAAAATTTAATATTTAGATCAATGAAGAGTTTCACATATTTTTCTCCTGTAAATACTTGATTCCACTCAGATTCTGTTCTAGAAATTTTACAAAACTTAAAAATTTTCGTGTTTCTTTCCAAAACCTCTGTGATTACTGAAAAAGGGGAGGAGTAAAATGATGAATATATTATAACCATCTAAGAATTATCCGGCAGTTCAAAAACATTAAAAGTAAACCATAAACTGAAATACTAGCCCTGAATATATAATGTGACCAATCTCAATGTGATTTTTTCCCTCTGAGAATTTAAATTTAAAAATGGAAAATGATGCGTTACAGTAAAAACATACCACAGTAAACACAACTATTTTTATGATGTTTCTACAATTTTTCTCATATAATTTCTTTGTTCCAACACTATTAATCACAAAAATAACCATCTCGATGACATTCAACAAGTAGCATGAATTTCAGTGCGTATGCATTCTGTGCTGGAAAACATCCGTGCAAAGTCACTGCATTTCAGTGCTAATGGTTCATGGTAAAACTGATCATTCTCATGAAGGATGAAACTTTAAAATATTTACTAATGGAGAAGTCTAATGTGTATCACTTTACTATATAGAGTATAACTCACCAAATTAAATTTAGAGACAATTTTCTTTTTTTATTAAGGGATTAACTTTTTTTTTAATTTGTTAAAATGTTCCTCCATACTCTATCCCAACTATACAAGATGCATGTACTATTTTTTCTTCAGCATTAAAAATGTATTTCAATAAAAAATAATAAGAATTTGCTTTTCTCTTCAAGTATTTCTACTGTGGGAAATGACACTTTAAGCAAAAACAGAGGGAAAAAGACAAAGATGTTACTTAATGATGACTATGTGCTAGGAAAAGACACAAATATCCAGCTGAATTTTGTTTTTTTTAAAGCTAAGTCACTCAGAAGTGAAAGGCAAACAAGGTTTAAGTACACAATTTATAAATGTGGAAACAGCAATAGCTGCATGATTATTTTACATTCTTTCCTAAGGATGGCTCTAAGAATAGGCTGACAACTCATATAGCTAACTAAGCAAACTACACTTTAAAAGTGCAGAATAAATTTTAAGTGGCTGGCACTGAAGTACTGAGTTTAGATGTGGGAAAAGATGCTATAATTGACTAAATCTTTTGGGTGCCTTGACTTTTTGATGTTTTACCCAGGTGTTCAAGCAAAAAGTGTATGATTTCATTTTACGCAACAGACTTTTAAGTAGAGAATTTTTAGGATAAAGGAAATCCCACGCTATATGTGTATACATAAATGGATTTAAATAATACAACCACTAAAATAGTTCAAGACATGGTGCAATATAAAACCTCTCAAGGTCTACTTATAGGTGGCCAAATTTAATGCTTAGTCTTTTTCAAGAATGACACAATTTATTTGCTTAAAGGTAAAATCTCACTGATACAGTGATATTCTACTGCATTAAGGATAATATGCCAATACCAATCTGGAAGATGAAATAACTGTAACAAATACTAACTTCAGACAGAACAGATTCAGTTCAATGAAACTTCATCTTATATTAATGACACATGTCTGCTTCCCCTTAGTATCGTTTTTTACTTCAGCATGAGGGCTACACTAGCTAAAAATTTATTCCTTTACAAGCCTAGTTCTATTGAGCTTCTAAACTTGAAACAAATTAAAAAAAAAAGAAGTCAATATAATCAGCACAGACCTTTTCTACCAGTTTCACTTTCTAGACCATTTTTCTCCCAGTATTTCATTTTAATCCTTCATAATTTCATAGCAAATTATCCAGATTACATCTTCTGGACTCATCAGTGATAGAACCTAAATTTCAAATGCTATTTTGAAGAAGTGTAGAGTAAATAACTTTGGTAATCTGTAAGACAGCAGCATGCAGTATGTACTGTACTATAACAGCACCAAATCCTTTATAAAAACCAAGCATTCCTTCCTCTTGCTTTATGGTATTGATACAGTCTCTCATCCCCTCATACTGTGTATTAATTGGAAGCACTTCATAGCCAAGGTCTGTATTGTCAATTATTGTGCGTGTTCCTTGAATGTGAAGGCGGTGTAAAACTGTTTCCAATGGGAAGAGTATAACATCAGAGCAAAGACTGGCAGCAAAGTTAGCAATAAGTTCTGGAAAATAAGCATCCAACATACTCTGCACAGGGCTACTGCTCTCAGCTAGGTGGCTATTATAAGTCTTTCTCTTTAGAATTAGTAGGACAAACTTCTGAATGATTGAGCTGATGATGTAGTGAAGAACTCCATGCAGCACTGTAGGGAAGACCAGGGAAAGAAGGGGAAGGAGTCGTTTGCTGTGAGGTACTCCTAAGCCTATCACTCTTCCGATTCCTTCTTTAACACACTCCAAAATGCCAGCATTGTCGCGAATTATCTCACTCTGAAATAAAAATCATAAAATAAAATTTAACACAGCTTATTTTGGCACAAGAAAAGGGACTCTTAAGACTCAATTTATTAGCTAAAGAAGAAAAATATCAATGATTTTCAGACAACTATTATCTAAGTATTCAGTTTTGTTTCTTTTTCAAATAAACTCTGGTAGTAGTGAGGCTGGGAGGAATTCTTACTGGCACAGGGAGATCAGGAGGAGACACAGCTGTATACCTCTGACTTCCTAATCTCAAGCATCTTAGAAGCAACAGCCACTTGATGCCTTAAGAGCAATATATGGCTTCAACATCCTTCAACATGGGTTTGAATCCTGCTGCATTATTTACTAGCTAAGTAATCACTGTTAAGTTACTTTTTACTGGAAGCACACCATTGTATAAAAATGAAAATCAGTCCCACTTACATTTTTTTTGCCGAGTTGTGTTAAATGAAAAACAGGCCCATTACCCAGCAATACTCAATAATTTATGTCAGTCTCATTACCATCTGAAAAGTCTGCCTTTTGATAATGTTGGAGATAGGTGTAAGAAAGTTTGTGATACAGCTAAGTCCACTGGTGCACACAATATCACAACTACTCAGGAAGTTGTATATTACAGCTACTTAGGAAGTTGACAGACTAAGTTTGAGGCCAGCCTGGTCAACTTAGTGAGACTCAGACTGAAAATTAAAAAGAAAAAAAAAAACAAAAACTAACAAAACAAAACTGGGTGCACAGCTCAGTGACAGAGTATGGCAGTATTGGGGAAGGTTTGCTAATTCAATCCCCAGTACTAAAACCATCAATCAATCAAGTAAATTTGTAGCGATAGAAGTAGAGTACAGTGGTACCTCAGTTCATGAACTTAATTCTTTTCACATTTCTGGCCGTAAACTGAAGCTGATGAGAACTAACTCAAATGCAATGGTTAGGTTGAATGATGACTTTATGGGGAAATTTGACTTGGTTGTCAGTCAATCTGGTTTGCAACCAGAATTGTAGAAATAATTAAGTTTGTGAACTAGGGTAACATTGTAATTCATTGTGTTTTTAACATCACAAGCAACAGGAATTACTGGTGCACTAACTATGTTTGATATATGAAAGACAGGAGTCAAAAATGCCCAAATCTGTTGGCCACAGGTCCTGAAGGAACAGCACTGCTGATGAAGCGACATGGGAAAGTAGATCAAGAATGCACAAATGTTAAGTATTAATCTGTATTACAAGAAAAAAGGCTCAAGAAGACCATATTATGAATGTAGAAGTCCTCCGATAATGAGATATTTTAAACCATGAGACTAAAATGAACTCAACAGGTTTACTAATTTCTATGGTTTAGAACTAAAATGACCCCGAAAAGTCTCATGTGTTTAGAGATGAAACTTCTTGAAAGGTGCGTAGATCATTGGGACTCTGGTGATGGGTAATCATCAGATTTATTAGCTGCAAAGAGGTGGGAACTCTTGGAAAAGGTGGGTTAGTGGGGGCGTGACCTGGAAGATGTATTTCGTTCTGTAGTTCCCACCTTCTGTCTGCTTCTGTTAAGCAGTTTTCTTCCTCTGTGCCCTCCCACAATACCATTTCTGCCTTGGAGCCAGCTAACAACGGACTGCGCCTTCTAAAACCATGAGCCAAAACAAACCTCTCCTCCATTACACTGCATTCTTGGCCCAGTAATGGAAAAAAATGACTGATAAACTAATTCACTTACGTATCTCTGACCTTGTTCTCTTTCCTACTTCAATCTATTTTTAAAACAATAACTGAAGGGATCTTAATAAAGACATAACAGATCATATATCATATCAGATCATATATCATAACAGATCATATCAGATCATATTAACTTTCTGCTCAAACGTCTCATCTCTCAAAAAGGCCAAATTATTACAATAAGCTACGTCTTATATAATTCGCTTTCTCTTACTATCCAAACTACTCTCCCTTCTACTCTCCTTTATCTTATTTAATTAGCATCAATTATACCTGACTCCTTTCCGCTGTTTAAAATACATATTATACCATCATACTTGGAGTATCTTGCACCTGCATTCCCTCTGCTTAGGATGTTAAGTTACCTATCTTAATTCAAATATCAACTTTCTTCTTAGTGAGCTCTTTCTCAGGTCATCTTAAAAATATATTAATCATTCTTCCTACCCATTGCACACCATTTGTTTTTTTTTTTTTTGCTTTCTTTAACACTTATCATCATTAAACACACCTTATAGGAAACTTGTTTATGGCTGTCTTTCCCACAAACATATCAGTGCTGTGGAAACAGAACAGTTGTGTCTGTTTTATTTGTTGCTGTATCCCCAGGGTCTACAAGTGTGTGATACAAACTGGCAATTGTGAGTGTTACATGAAGAAAGAAAAGAGTTTTGCAGTTAAAGAAGATGAAACAGTACAATGAAGAAAAACAACGTTCAAAGAGATCTGAGCTCCCTCTTATGGGCAAAAATATCACTGAGCTTGAATTCAGAAGAAACATACTGAAAGAAGTTAGATATTCAGCAAAAGAAGAATAACAATGCTGTTGAAACTCAGTTATTAAAATAATAACATTTTATGGGTGAGAAATTAAGATTTTAAAAGGTTAAAAATTTATCTAAAGTAATAGATATAATTTAAATAGATAAATGAGAATCTGAGTCTGTTCCAAGCCAAAGCTTTTTTCCCCTAATGTTATGCTTAGTTTTCTTTAAATAAATTTTTGCTATTTTCATTACTTTTAAAATGAGGATATCTTATGCAAGGGAAAGAAAGGAAAATATGTTTGGGCCACAAGACGTTCTAATGAACTGAAATCAGTTTTAACAGCAAAAAAAAAAAAAAAAAGATTAACAAGGGGATCAGAAAAGAGGAAAGAATTGAGAGAAAGCACTTACTTATACTAAAGAAAAAATGCTTTAGGATCTGGTGTTGGAAACAGAAAACAGGTGTACATACAGGTGTAGGTTTTGTGTATTAAGTGAAATTAAAACTGCCTTCACAGTTTTAAAAGCAGAAAGATCTAGTATGACATTTAATTCCATGTACTTAATGCACCACCATGTGGTCAAAATAGTAAGACAAGCAGACACAATTTAATGTTGGGAAATTCCTTACCCCTTCTATCACAGCAAGGGTAGCAAATGTTTCCTTTAAATCATAGTTCAAAAAATGCTACCGGTAAATTACTTACAGAGACAAGGTACAAATTGTCCGATGACTATCTTATGCTCAGATAATTAATATGTTTCATCATTAGCTGTAACAATCTGAGTAGCACACAGTGCTTCAAAAAGTTTATACATTCTTCGTATTCACAGAAAATCACAAGTTGGGCCGCGAGATATGTGAATGGAGACTATAGCTGCCCAAGGGGAAGGGAGAAAAACATGTGGCCTAAGTTTGGAATGGAAACATACAGACCAGCTTTGCATAATATATGTGTGAAATACATACTGTTCTGCTAAGTAGTCATACATATAAAATATATTGAGTATTCCGAAAAATATTTAACTAAATAAATGTCAATATGAAAGTAGCTCACCTGTACTGTTTCAATTAGACTTGCTGAATAAAAAGGCATTGCCACAATATAAGTTAGGCTGTAGAAATTAAAACAGATTTATCAGCACACTGAAACAAATGCTTACATGAATTTTCTAAATATCTACTTTAATATATCAGTGTAATTTATATTTAAGCTACAATGACCTTTTTAAGATTTTCAACTACTGGGGCTGGGGGTTTAGCTCAGCGGCATAAGCGCCTGCCTTGTAAGCAGGCAGTCGTGAGTTTGATCCCTGGTACCGATAAAAAGGAAAGAGACAAAAAAAAAAAAAAAAAAAAAAAAAAAAAAAAAAAGATTTTCAATTACTAATACTTTTGGCCCTAACATGTAACTTCAGGAACTTTTAACATACTTTATTCAACAAATATAAAAACAAATTAAGTGTTGATAACACAGGGATAACCTTGACAAAAAAACCCAGATTTTATCTTAAAACAATAAAATGTAAGCACATTTATAATTTGCTGTTTGGATATCGACCTGTATGTAATTAGGTAACATAGTGTATAAATCTGACACTTAAAATTTAGGAGGAGGGATCCATTCCACAGCTTGCCTTTTTAGTGATAGCTGAAGTCTATTTTTCTGCTATTATCATATTATCTTTTCCCAGATTTCCCATCCAGCAGAGTGAGGTCAGCTTTCACAATGAGTAAAGTCCCCTTTTACTGTTAAAAAACAATATTGTACAGCTTTGCAAAGTTGTTTCCTATCATCAAATATTTAGACACAGTAAATTACAACTTTGCAAGCCTGCAAAATATAGTTATTTAAAATCTTAAAGTGGGACTTACCTAACCCTTATGGGCCAGGTCCTGGTAAGTAGTAGTTTTCAAGGAGAATGGAACATCACTAAGTAATAATGTGCTAGAATGTCCCATAGAGGGAGTCAGCAAGGTGGGGGATTTCCAATTCACAATCTTCAAAAAAAATTAAAAAGTGAAGAGTAAAATTGTAATCTACAAAATGATTATTGCTGTAAAACCATCAAGTGCCTTTAGGACTATATTTCAATGTCACTAAAGCTTTAACTTTGCTTATTGCTACACAAACAAATTTACATGTCTGTTTACTAACAGAGTACAGGTTGAAGATCCCTTATTAGAAATGCTTAGGAGTCGAGGTATTTCAGAAAATGAATGAATGAATAAATAAATAAGTATTTCAGATTTGATACTTTTTTCCAATTTTGGAATATTTTCATGTATATCCTTGAGATGAAACTCATGTCTAAACATAAAATCTGTTTATGTGGCATAAATATCTTACATACATAGACTAAAGGCAAATTTATAATATTTGTAGATTGGTTGCATTTTACTGTGAACTGTTACATTAGGAAAGACATGGAAAAGTCATGTTAAAAATTTTAGATTTTGAAGCATTTTAACTTGGGGATGGCTTGACCAGTGATAAAAATTATTTTCTCAGAAATTTGGGCTGTGGGCCAGGGATTTAGCTCAGCGGCATAAGTGCCTGCCTGGCAAGCATGAGGTTGTGAGTTCAATCCCTGGTTCCAAAAAAAAAAAAAAAAAAAAGAAACTTGAGCTGAACAGATTTGCTGACTAAATGAAAAAGTTGGCTGGTTACAGTGTTTCACATCAGGAAACATTATTTTAAGGATCCTATCTGTGTCCGCATTTTATTCCTAAACTCTGTATTAGTTGCCCTTTCATGATTTGTTCCATAAATATTTCATTATTCTAATTTTCTTTGCTGTATCTATTAATAAGATTAAGTTTCCAATAAAATGCCAGTTTTGATACTTACGCTTTCAGTAGAAGATGTTCACCTATTTGTTTAGGATTCCATTTGTGTGAAATCTCCCTAAAACGTAAAAGTAAACCAAAATTGAACAAAGGCCACGTTATTTAAAACATCTTAAATTAACATAATTTTCAAAAGGGTAATAATTCTAAATTGTTTTAATTTGTAGAAAAAATGTATTCTAATATTACAGATTTTCTTTTATATAAAACACTTCAAACAACTGTGATGGTTCCAAGACGGAAAATTACACAAGATTCTTTTTGTCAATCACAGCAGGGACTGACAGAAGAAAAGGTTCAATAGACTGAAAACAAACCTAAGAAATTTAAAAAAGAAATGCAAAAATGACATTAAGAAAAAATAGGAGAAGGAAAGGAAATAAAGAACAGAAAAAAAGAAGGAAAAGGCTTTATAAAGTATCAAGCAGAAGAATTTGACAATGAAACAAAATTACTGTAATGCAGAATGACATGTTGTATCTTTTGTATAGTGCCCAATTTCCAGAGTATCCTCCCTTACTACAATGATACTCACTTTATGACCACTGTCACATAAACATACATATTATACATAACCGACATATGTATCGGGGCTACCTTGGGGTAGGTGGAGAACGGAAGGTAAAGAGGAAGGGAGGGCGCAATAGAGGAAGGGAGAGAAAAAAGGAAGGAAGGAAGGAAAGACAGAAGAGAAAGAAAGGCAAGTTGAACTGCAACAAAAAGAGGGACATATAGCAAGATAAAAGTTAAATAAAATGGAGAATAAATGAGAAGAATAAAAAGACAGAAAATAAATGAAAAAGAGGAGGTAGGAAAGGAAGAGTTGTATATGAGGAACAATAGAGAAAAAGTATAAAACAAAGATGAGATTTGTTGCTGTAAGATGATGACTTTCCTCTGACAACTACTTTATGATTACAAAACAACATATGCTACCTGTGTTGCTTATCAATTTGCTGCTATTCCTCTTATCATGGCTTCAGAAAGTGTTCTCACAGGTCATTCTTTGTTACACAGACTTTAAGCATGAAACTGCTATTAACAATACGGGCCTAAAAGGTCTATGACTTGTGTCTCTGTAAGGACAGGGCCACCTTCCTTCTAAATATGATAATTGTTATTGCCAACTCTTCAAATGATTAAGGTTAAAAAGAGAAATGACATTTAGAAACAAGTGTTTAAAAAAAGAGAGAGAACCAGCCTTATATCTATTCTTTGCTACTTTATAAAAAAAGGAGAATTTTATAAAATTAGTACCTTACTGCCTGAAGTCTAGAAATTTAAATTCATATATTCAGGGAAGAACATAAGTAAAACTGTGATAAAAGTCTTGTATATTTTATTATCAAGTGCTGAACATGTGTAAATATATTTTGATTTGCTAATTTTAAGCAAAACCTAACCTTGCAAATGAATATCAAAATTAAGAAAATTGATTAGAACACTTTTCTCACAAGTCTTAATTTTCCTATGTAGAGTCAATACATAAAACCAGTGAAACCTAAAACAACTACCTAAGCAGACCTCAATTTTCACATGGTCAGTTATCTGCCCTCTTGAACAACAACAAAAACCTAACAAAAACATCTTCCCTAAACCCAACCCTAATCTCTCATCTCCCTATTTCCTCCCTTCATCTAGTTTCTTCATAGCTAACTTTTTAAGTTTAGTGCTTCCATGTCTCAGCTCCCCATTACCTTGAAACCTACTCTAAATTGGCTTTTACTCTATGATTCTATAAAACTGCTCTTGCCACAGTCCCTAAAAACCTCCATCTCCTTTAGTGCAGCAGGCATTTTCCAGCATGTACCTGATTTGAATTTCAACAACCATCAGGTGAGCATTCCTTTGTCCCCTTCCTGAAGCCGTCTTCGGCCCTGTACTCCACCACTCATACTGTACTGGTTTGCAGTCTCTTTTTTGGTCTGACTTTCTGAATGACTTCTTCGCACTATCTTTCCTAACACTTATTGCTGGACTTCCTGAAGGCTTAGGTGCTCTTCTTTTCTTACTCCATTTGGTATACTAGGCACTTTCTAGAGTACAGCCTCAAAATCTCTCAAATTCATCCTCAGTTAAGAGTTCTCTATATGCAATTCTTATACCATATGCTTACAATTTCACTGGATATGAAAAAGCATCTGAAAATGAAATGAACTACAGCAAAATCAAATTTAAAATATTTCCACTTTTGCTCTTCATTCAAGACCTATTAATCAGAAAGGAATTGGCTAAATTTGAGGAATTCGAGAACTATCTCATTGTGTTTGAAATTGTATTTTGAAATGAGGAATTAAGGGGAATCATTTGGAAAAAAAAAAGATGTTTGTTTATATTGTACAACCACAAACATGAGATGACTCAACTCTAAGTGAAAGTTCAGGTTGAGTTTTGTGAGAGATTGGAATACACACACAGGCAGTCTTGGTTACAGAAACTCCTGTGTCGTGTTAATGACATGAGAAAAGCCATACTCCAGTAAAGGGGAGGACTAATACACGATGTACCTCATTCCACCTTGGGGAAGGGTGGGGAGGGAATGGGAGCTTCTGGCAGTAGAGAGAGCAGGTGGTGAGATAGCAGATGATTCCTTTAAAAGGAATTTTACTGAGAAATTACTATATAAGGTTGTTGACTTAAAAGCCCTAGAGACCAGCTGTTTTTCTCTGAGGTGATCATAATCAGTTTAAAAAAAATACTGGTCAATCCACAGTATTACACCTGTTCTATCTAATAATCATATGCAGTTCAGGAGAAACATAATTTCTACTAATTGCTTTGAGGTAAAGCTTTGATTTTGCTTTGTTTTGTTTTGCTTTATTTGACATCACTGATTACAAAAGCTGAAGTCCTAGAAGCCATCTTTAATATCACCCTCTCATTCGTTTACTATTCCTTTTTGATTACCAAGTTCCATCAATTTTTTGTAAATATATTCAAAAGTTTCCAATTTACTGCAACTCAAAAGACACTACCCTGGTCCATGATACTGTTATTTCTCACCTTATTACTGTTTTAACTTACTAGGATGTCTCCTTGTATCCATTTTGGTCTTCATTTAATCTCATCTACTGCTAAAATGACCCTTTGAAAACACAAATATGGTGATATTGACTACACTTAAAATTCTTCAGTATCCTTAAAGTGACCTACCAAACCACGCATAGTGTGGCTCCCATTTACTTCTTCAACAATACTGTATTACCTGCTCTTCCTTTTTCTCTGGTCTCCGACCACATGAACCCTATCTCCATTACTTAAATTCTCAATCACACCTACTCCAGAGCATATTCATATAAACAGGTAAGCACCTCCTATGAACTCTCAGATCTCAGTTTAAGTGCAATGTCACTAAGAACCCTGTTCCTACCATGAGTCTCATGGAACCATATTCTTTCCCATGGGAGAACAAATTTCAATTTGTAATTATTTATCCACTGGTATGATTATTTTACTAAGATATATCCTTCTATTAGATTTTGAATTCAGTAACAGGTACTCTTTATTTCTCTTCCTCATTATAAATCTGATTTCTAGCCTACAACCTGGTACATACTGACAGTAAGCACTTAGATAATTAAGTAAGTGAATTAATAAGTGGGATTAATGACCTAAAGCAGCCAAGTAGAACAATACAAGGAAGATAACTGTTTGTGTGTTCATTAGCAAAATTTGAAATGAAAATAAAATACATTCCCACACAACTGAAAGGCCTCCTTGTCTGCTGAGCAGGAAAGCAATATAAAAACATTTTATAAAATTCTATGTCTTCCATTTTTGTTTCTTTTTCCTTCTCTTTAACCTGATGCTGTGTCTGCTTCAGAGAGGTACCATGACTTGCCTTATGCCCCTGGGATAGCTAAGACCTGAAACAATAATGTAGTGATTTTAAGCTCAATTTTTTCTACTAAATCAAATTTCCTGAATTTTATTAAAATTTTATAGAATTTTGTGTTTGTGGGATGCCCTCAAGAACATCTGACTTCGAATACTCTGAAACTTACTTGTGATACAAAAAGCAATAGTAGGGGCTGGGATATAGCTCAGTTGCATAAGTGCCTGCCTGGCAAATGTAAGATCCTGAGTACCAAAAAAAAAAAAAAAAAAAAAAAAAAAAAAAAAAAAAAAGAAAGAAATAGTAGGAATAAGGTTAGCCAAGAATAGAAATTTAGTTTTGGGGGATAGAGATTTTGCTCACTGATAGTGCACAAGGCCATTGAGTATGTCTTCAGCACCAAAAATAAAACAAAACAAGCACAAAATCAAATTTTGAATTGAAGATATAAAATCATTAGCTGGCCAAATATTTCTAATGTTTGTTTTGCTTCTGCAGTTTTAGCATATTGTATTTGAGGAATCTGAAGACAGAGGTTCTTTGAAAGCAATCACATTGAGAAAAAAGCCTGGTATCAGTTTCTTGCCTTCTTTCCCTATAAGGATTAAATCCCAACCTTGAAGACATGTGATGTAGTAATGGCTTCAGCCATCTCACTTCCCTGTTAATCCACAAAATTTACCCTTGGGGCTAACTGTGGATGAATGAACCACTCAAAGCCCCAGTATTATTCCTGGACTGATACCAAAAATCACAGAATCATACCAAATAGCACCTAACAAATTTATGGTTTCTGACATTATCTATTAATGTTTCTTTCCTATATTGTTTTCAGAGTCCCTCATTACTCATTGTTGTGACTGTCCAAATGGATCTCATTCTTCTCATGCTTTTTTACCACAACTTCAATGTCTATCTTTCTATTAAGTAATCTTGGAAAGAGTGCCACAGAAAAAGACAATACTCAGCAAATTCTTTCAGTTTCTCTGTCTTCTTCCTCCAAATGTATCTACAACTCTGGTGTCCAGTGTACCATGTACTACACTGTATCTTCTTACTGTCCTTAACTTGTTTTGAAGACATCACTAATTACACCCCTTAACTATCTCTCCAAAGCACACCCACCCATATCCATAAGATGGCACAAATATGTAGTTGCTCAGGATTGACTTTTGATCACTTTATGTCATGTCCTGTATAATTTCTCCTTCTGTGAACTGTACCTATTCTAATGTTTTCAAAGCTATTTTTCCTCCACAATACTTGAAACTATGTCACCAGCTCAAGTTTCTACCAGACTCTGATCCACAGGTCCAACCATCTAGACATTGTCATCCAGACACAATGATCCTTAGATATCTTGCAAGAATCTCAAGTTTTGTTTATTGAAAGTTAAACTCATCCTCTCCACTCCACTTATTCACTCCACTTCCACTTACAACTTATTCCTCATGAATTCCCCAACGTGGTTAACATTTTCTAATACAGACGTCTCAGTCACTGCTGACAACTCTCTCTGCCATACCCTCAGTCTCAATCTAACATCAGTTACCATCAGTTATACTTCAAAAATGTCCATTTATGTCAACGCTTTTTTTTTTTTTTTTCTTATGGTTCAGAACCTCCTCATCCTGGCCTACAGTTCTCCACAGCCATTTTTTTGTTTTTATTCTACCACTTGAGTATAACCTTGATTAAAATATTCCTACTAAAAAAATTAAAATGTCTTAGTTTCTCAATCCCACAGAGAACAAAACATTACAAAGACCTAATTATACTTTAGCGTTTCAGCTTCTCTTCCTAATATTCCAGGACTAAGTCACTTCTGTCTATTAGCTAACCTGCTCAACTTCCCTAACCATGGGCATGCTGTCACTTCTTAGAATGACTTTCTTTTCTGCCAAGTCAACTCTTATTCATAATTCAAGATCTAGCTCAGATTTCAGTTATTTTTGGAAATCCTTGCCAATAATTCCAGGTATACTATCACTCTTTCTCTGAAGAGGATTATCTAATTACAACATGAAAAAGACAAAGTACTATAACAAAATTGGCCACATGAAGAATAGAAATTCTTTAGATACTCCTATTTGTTCCTGAATTGTCAATTGCTGGCAAATAGCAGGAGCTAAAAAGATGTATCTTAACAGATACCATGACATGAAACATTTTCTGTATCACATATTAATTCAATAAGATATAACTAATGATATAATTTAATTCTGTCTTAGTTATTACAAACAAGTTTCAGATTTAAAGTACTTTTAGATATTTTCCTATGTATTATAAACTAATGCTAAGAAAAACACCAAAAAGTTACCTTGGCAAAGGTGTGAATTCACTAATGATGCCTTCTGCTCCAAGTGTTACTCCTTGGACAATGAATGTACTTCCCATTCCTTTCCATAGGGCTCTTGGTCCCTACAATGAACACAGTTTACTGTTACTTCTGCAAATTCCTAAGTTTTAAATGCAAAACAACTTTTACAAAATTTCATATGGAATATTTGATACTTTCTAAATATGCACTTTTTTAACAGAAATCTTGTAGACAACTATAACTAAATGAATTTCTATCATTACTTTAATATTTGTTAGGTGGCCAATATTTACACTAAGATGATTAATTGAATACCCCTAATGATTAATTAATTTCTTAAAATCTCTAGGATCTCAATATTCAAATCCTTAATAGTCCTGCCATTTGGATGATATGGAGTTGTGTCAAAATTTATACCCACAGAAAAACTCAATCATACCTGTTCATGCCACCATCCCAATTCCTCCTCTGCTGTGTTTCCTATTTCCTTAGATGTCATTTTCACCATCCTATGTCCAAACTGTATATGTGGGTAATATTTTCTCACTACTTCCATCTAATCAGTCCTATAAATTTTGCATCTTACAAGTCCATGTTCTTTTCTTCAGTTTTGTCCCTTTTCACAATATCATTAATGACATTCCTATTCTTACTATTTATTTATATACTATTAACAACACAGACACAAATTAAAATAAGCAATAGAGTATCAGAAGCAGTTACATCCCTGTTTACTGGCAGAAGTTTCTTATTTATTTCAAAACATGCATATAGACCTGTTTCTCTGTTTATGTACAGATCTAGAAATGTTTTTGTTTTGTTTACTTTTAATAGATGAAAGTAACTGGAGCAATTAAAAAATAATCAAGGGATCATTTCCTATCAGTATACACATAGCTACCTTCTTGTTTTTAAAACTACATGGTGCGTTGCCAAATAAATATACCATAATTATTTTAATGGTAGTGTGTAGATGACTATTTAATAATTTCCAGTCCCATTATGTGCAATGCCATGATGACGTCCTTCTGTACACATTAATGTGGAAATGAAATTAGCATGTAAAGAATACGCACACTTCACATTTTGATGGATATTGCCAAACAATCCAAGTTTGTTTGAAACACTTTGATTATTGCTAAAATACTTCAGCGATACTCCTTTAGTTGTTAATACTAAGTGTGCCGTTCTTAGAAGGTTCTTTATTATCTGTATCCTGCGTACTTCTCTAATTGCTTTTTCATCCCTAACCTCTGCTCTATGCTCCCGTTATAATGTATTAAGTGCATCACCAAACATTATAACTTCTGTCTTTGCCCATCTACTCATAAAGCCTGTTCTCCATCCTCAGTATTATGTAAACTTAACAATAAATATACAACTCCATGTCCCTTTTCCCCAAGTCTTGATATATCCTGTGCTCAACCTCACTTTTGATAAAATACCTCTTTTCTACATTCTGACAGCATTTTGTACTTCCAATATTGCATCTTCTTGCACCACAATCTTCTGTTAAGTTTTTATCTCCATGGCTAAGTTATAAGCTTCTTATTAACAGAGACATTATCATATCTGCTGCTAAGTTCTTGGACCTTTGCATAGCTCTTTATATTTCTATTGAATTAAGTGAAAATTTTGAAAGATTCCAAAAGGTATCATTACTATGAGACAGCAGGTTTGCTGTAAGAGTTAACATATTTTTACTAACCGAATTACATGAATTATTCTTACTTCAATGGTTATCAAGCCCAAATGACGATTATATATAGCTTTAATAGTTCCACAGACTAATTCTTTACCTGAGTTTTGTTGAAGCTGTACATAATATTGATGACTGTAAATGGAGTGAGATGGTAATTCCGAGCATGGTAATTAACCTGCAGAAAAGACATTACATATTTCTTTCTGTGGTGTTGTCAAGAAATAATAAAGTCATAAAAACGCTGCAGCAAAAGAAGTTAAATTCTAACGTCAATTCAAGTTATACACAAGCAAAATTACTTTTGTTAACATATAAATACAATATGAAGACTAATGTTTAATATAAATAGTAATAAAGTAATACAAAAAAAGGTCTTGCTATTTGATATTTGTGTTTCCTAAAATACTACCATTGTTTCCCTCATGCTGCCTTTAGGCAACCATTTCTCAAGGTTCTGTAAATGTTGCAACCAATGAGTAAATTATGAAATCAGTTAAAAGGGTCAAACACTGGATCACAATGTAAAATCACTATGTAAAATGTGTATGTATGAAATAGATTGTTCTGGAGTATGTATACTGACAATGCTATGTAAGTCATCATTTCTCTTTAAATACTTAATTTTCAGTGTACACATAAAAATTTGTAGATTTATATTGTTTTGAACTCTAAAGTCAAACAAATATGGAATAAATTACTTTGTAAAAAGGTAAGTTACATGATGGCAGTATTTTGCCACATTGTGGGTCACTGATTCTCCAGGGTCATTAGTATCAGACGATTAAGAAGTTCAAAATTATACTCTGACTAATGGTGCAAAAGCTACAGTAAGTAAAACTATTAGCTCACAAATCAAAGCAGTAGCATCAAATTACATACATTTTTTATTTATGGTGTCCTTCACCCCATACATTCACAGGAAGGAAAACTAATCACTTAAGCATATCCTTGATGAAGCATAAAAAAATGTGAATTTATGAAATCTTGACCCTGAGTACATACTCTTTTTCTAATACTCTTTGTGTTACACTAGGAACTAGATGTTGTCATGGGGGAAAGCTCTTCTACGATGCAATTGCAAAGCTATATAGCTACTTTTTCACGGAACACCACTTTTGTTCGCAAAACTCACTGGCAGACTAGTTATTCATATTGCAGACAGATATGTTTTGGCTAATGTACAAAGTTAGCTTGCTGATTTAAAACACATAAGTGTCTATGGCTTTCGTCAATAAACTTGGATTTTCAAGCAACGAACATAATTTTGGGAAATCTGTACCTACCATCAGAAGCATAAAACAAAATTTTTCTAGTGAGATTTTTCTAGTGAGATCGGCTGTGTTTTCAATGAAGTTTTTTTGTTTTGATATTGTATCATCAAACACTTTAGTATCTGAAAGATTTATATAACTTGGTGAATCAATATAGGTAAAAATAACCATTCAAGACATTTAAAGCAATGGTTTTTTTAAGGAAAGAAAGCATAAAAAATTCATGTGGTTTCAGATTTCACATTGCAAATAACCTTTGTTGAGTTTTGGTGTAATTTCAAAAAAAAATCCAGTTTTGAAAATGATGTATATTCTTGGTTTTATTACATATATGGACACAGCTGGACTTTTTTGTTTCTTTTAAAACAAAAATACAACATCTTGCAATAGATTGAATGCAGAAGCAGACAGAGATGCTGGCTCACTTCTATTATCCCACAGATTAAAGACATTTGCAAACCATAAAATGATATTTTCATAAATAGGCCACTGTTAGCGCCTAAAGTGCTTATTTTGATGAATTAAACTAACACATTTATAATTCCCACTTTTAACTTCAGAAATGGGAAATATCAGCAAATATGACCTGCTGTTATTGCATCCAGATGTCCCTGCAAAGCCTCATGCAGTCATCCAATTTTTTTCAGAGGTGGCTGAATCCAGAGTGTGTGACTGACTCTGATTCATAGTGCAATGCTGGGGTCAAGGTGCTGGGATCAAGGGTGGCTGACTGCGGGATCAGTCCACTGACTGGACTGGCCCCACCCTAATCCTAGTAGACGGACATACTATAAGAGAGAGGAAGAGGGCTGACTGTCTTGCTCCCTTGTTGCTTTTGCTATCTTCAGCCAACATGACCACTGCTCCTCTGCCATGTGCTAACCTTCCTTGGAGCTAGTAAATTATGGACTAAAATTACTATAATCTGCGATCTAACTGTGAACTAATTTTTGGTGTCAGGTATTTTTGTCTTAACAATGAGAAAAGTAAGACACCCACATAAAGATTATTGGGATTCTCAATAATTTCTAAGACATTAATGGGATCTTCATATCAAAAAGTTCATTTCCCATGGACTAATAGTTACATGTTTCCATGTTATTTATCTGAATTCTGGACTTGAAATAAGGATCAGGATCGTCAGAGAAATTTTATTTACCTGGCATTGGCGGCGTAGAACAATGCAAGGATGGGCCAGTACATTTTCTGTAAAGAGACTATATGAAATAATTTATGTATCTATGTGTCAACATGCAAATCTTATTTACCTGTATTTCCACATTCCTCTTTAAATAATTCTGATATTATTCTTGCCTGAATAATCGTGCATGTTATGTTTTCTGTAAACTGATAAATAAGGGAAACAATACATAATAACTAGAGTATGAGGCTGAGAAAAGATCTCTGAATATTTCACATAGGAATATTACATCATTTAATTTCCATTTCTTTCCAAAAATGTCCCACAAACAAAGTTCCTATCAGCAAAGCTATCTGCTGTTTAGAAACTTCACTGAAAAAAATTTGATTTTCTTAAATAAAATGATCATTAGGAGTAAAAAGATATAAAGCTGATCACCAAATGCTGAATAGAGACAAAATCTAGACTTCATGTTGTTAAATATTTTGGTAGCACTCCTATGTTCAGAGAAGGCACAAGTACTCTTTTTTTGGTGGACAGGGAGATATGATTACATTTGATTATACTCTTTTGCTAGATCCATAAAAGTTATTATGATATTCATTACACAATTATTGCTTATGAAACTGAACTACTAGTTTCTACCATTATTGGGAGCAAAATCAAGGTACAGATTTTAAATTATGATAATTATTCTGCAAAATATTATTCAATCTGCTGCTCCAAAAAAAACTTAAATGCTGTTCATTATGTTAAACAGAAACTCTAAATAAAAATTTAAACATTACCTTGCAAGTCCAATACCAAATCCAGCAAATCTACTCAACTGTTCTAAAATAAAAAGAATAAGATTACTTATAACCATTATTTAGATTTCATTTAAAAATAAGATTCCTCTCACATTACTATGCTATATTCATTTAAATCTCAAAGTCCAAGCCAATAGCTAACAATATGACTAGATAAATTAATGATCTTCTTTCACATCCTCATTTGCTTAGTAATCATGTAAGTTTTCCTAGTTAATGCAAATCGAATATTACTGCACTTCCAAGTGAAAAATCGAGAAAATGAGGACAAAGCTGGTATCTTGAATGTATGTGTGTGTATGTATATATATATGTACATATAATATTTTATGTTACCTGTGTAAGTACTATTCTAATTTCAGGAGAATGGAAAGAGACACATACTGACATTTTATAAATAAAAGAATGCTAAAAATAACTATGTCATACTGTGCTAAGATTAATACACAGGTCTTCCTATGTCCTACGAAGAGTAAGTTTGTCTTGATACTGCACAGTCCTATCTTGAAACTGCACAGAATTTGTAACTTGTAATTGGAGTTTTTGCTTGAGAATAGTGGGAGAAGGGGAAATTACAGGGAGGAAAACTTCAGGATTGGGGATCGGACAAAGCATAACTCCAAAGATTTTAAAAGGGTAAAGAACCGAATATTTTATTAGTCTACCTGGTAACCCATAGTAGAGGTTACTCAGTCCATTTAGTTCACTTAACACTTAAAAAAGGCTAACAGTTCTTGTATAGGTCTCAAAGATGAGACAATCAAAAGCTTGGAGGTTAGGAAGTCATTCAGTTTACAGGTAGGCAGTAGACCCAGGTACATTCCAAATCTGCTAGTGCTGAAAAGCTTCTCGTTCAGAACACAAAGCTACAATTAAAATCGTTAAGACTTGAAAGCTGAATTGAGTGACAGTAAATAATCCAATTTCTACCTTTCTTGAATCAGACCACAGGCTGTTAACATTCTACAACCGCTAAAAATCCCCACTATCCACCTTATGGCTCAGCAGATGTCTTTTTTGGAGGTGATCCCAGGTAACAAATTCGTGAGGAGGAGGAACCCGCACAGAGGACGAAAGGGCAGAGCGCGCAGCGCGCGAAGGCCCAGAAGGAAGCAGGGCGGGACCACTGCCCGGTTTCCGGGGTCTGCAGGCCGTGGGAGGCGGCATCGTCACCCGACCACCCCACCTTGGACCCGCACCCTCACCACTGCTCTGCCCCTGAACGCCGCCGCCGCCACCGCCGCCGGCCGGAAAGGGTTCCTCGGCCGGACCCTCGTACGGAGTGGAGGTGGAGGGCACGCCATAGGGCGGACTCTTCTCACCCCAGTGCAGGTTGCGACTGCCCGGGATGTCTGGGGGAGTCGTCACCCAGTGGCCCAGATCCGACCCGGAGCTGAAGGACCTTGCAGGGAAAGCCACACCAAAGCCCTGGTCGTCCCGGGCACCACCTCGGTAACCCAAGCCATCGAATCCGTCTGGACGCCGCGGATGCATCACAGCCGGGGCAGAATGAGTGGAGCCCACCCGGAGGCTACCGCCACTGGGGCCACTGCGACCTAAGGCCGCACGGTTTTCCCTGCCGGGCAGCCGCGTCTGGGGAAAATTCTGACAACCGGAAGTCACGATAGGAACCCGGAAGTCACGGGATCACGTGATCAAAGCTTCTTCCGGCCGCATTTAATGTTTGGTTGCTACGGAGACACGGAAGTGACCTAAAGCCAATCCTTAAAAAAACTATGGTTGAGGAGAAGGTGAATATGAGATTTATTATCTGATACAGCCCGGGTGGGAAGGGTCGAATAAAGATGTTTCTCTCAGAGGGAAGGTAGCGAATGGTTGGGCTGACCAGTTAACATCACCCAAAATACATCTTTTCTCACCTGGCTGATACTTCGCCGGTTCCAAATCCAAGAGAGCTAGCAGTGGTTAAAGCTGCGGGGTGTTATTAATGTTCCACTTAGCTTTGTCTCCCGCTTTTAGGGTTTTTGGATAAAAATCTATTGAGTAATTTGGGTCCGTCCAGTAAAGGCAACAGTACAACGGACTACCAATGGAGGCTTTAGAAAAGTTCAAGCGACAGTCAGGGAAAAAGAAACCCGAACATGTCCATACAAACAGTCCTCTGGGCTTTGAAAAGTAAACATTCTACTTTTCCAAGGATTCAGGGTCACTATAAACAGCTTTTTGTCGCATTAGGTCCTGAGACATCTAAATCGCTCAGAGAATTTACATTCCAGACATACTACTTAAAATCGAGACATCCTGATGAACAACGCAGAGGACGTCCATAGAGTCCCCTACTACCTGTTTCCATCAGCTCTATGGGATCCTGTGGCAATGTCTCTCCCTAGACTGGATCAGGTCTTACATGGGTTCTTCCCGTACCTCTTCTTCCTCACTGGGCGCTTAGAATTCCAAGAGCTTCCAGAAGAGAACACTGACGTGCTATTCTTAATCTTCCAGTAGTGAACCTTTATTGGAAGTGATAGCTTCGTTTTGAATGAACTGACATTCTTAAACTTGATTTTGCTGTGGCTTGGGCAACAGGTGTTAAGTTTCTTAGTAAGTGTTACTCCAGCACTGGATCCACAATACTGGGTTACTAATATCGATCGTGTTACTGGGTAGGGGAACACAAAATAATTACCTATTCCTTGGAAAAGATTAGTACAAAGATGGAATTATCGCAGATCTTTTTTTTAAAGAGGAAGGATAAGTGTGCATATGTGTACTTTTAATATAAAAAAGACACCTTACAATTTCATACCTCCTTAGAGAAAGGAGGAATTAAAACGAGAACACCTAGGTTGTGAGTTAAAGCGAAAAATAGAGTAGTAAGAGTCCTTCCTCTCTAAGTACACCTGTAATATAGTGTATTTTTCTTTCTTTATTAAAAATTAAGCACCGGAAGACAATAAGTAAATGCTTTTATGCAGAGGATTGAAAAACTTTCTAAAACCAGCAAAGCCATGTAAGCACTCAAGGAAAAACTATAATTAATTTGACGATAAAATTTAAATTTGTTTGGTATATCTAAAGAAAAATGAAATTTAAAAGGCAAATCACCACCTAGAAAACTATGACACTTTCTACCAAGGAATAAAGGTAAATCAGTGGAAATATAAGCAACAGGCATGGTAAAACACTTTATAAACAAATGCATAAAATACATAATTGTATGAAAATTATGCCCTCTAGTCATTTTAAAGTGATAAAATTTAATAATGGTCATCTTTTATCCATGAAATCTACAATCTGTAAATGGGAAGAAGCACATCATTGTGCCACATAGGAAGAAGGTAGCTCTTGTTATAGAAACATAATGAAACTTTTTGGTAATGAACAGTTTGATAATTCATTAAAAAGCATAAACTGACACAGCTTTTGAATCCTAAATATTAGGAAACAAATATGAATTGTATTTCCTGAACACGTTTATAGCATGCCTAGTACACATGCTTATGGAATAACTTTCCACGACAGAAAAATTTTCAGGACTCTAAATATCACATAATTAATTCTTGTTAAATGATGTACATATGTTCAGACACTCCTTTGATTAAAATATACTTATTGAGCACCTATCATGTTCCAGACAACTGTTTTAAGCAATGGATGTAGTGGTATATTAACTTCCTTGTAACTGTGACTATGGTCCATATGTTTGATATACACAATTTAAAGGAAGGATTTATTTTGGATCATGGTTTCAGAGATTTTAGTCTATGATTACCTGGTTCTAAAATAGAAATGTTATGGCAGAATGGCCTGGTAGAGCAAAGATGCACACTTCATGGTGCTCAGGAAGCAAAAGACAGGGCAAGAACCCCAGAAAGGAAGGCGTGAGGGAACAAATAGAGTGCAAATGCTCAAACCCATGTAATCCACCCAGACACACACAGAAGTGTGCTTTGCTAATCTCTTAGGTGTCTTTAAAATAAAGTTGATTGTCAAGATTATCAGTCCTTACTGTTAAGTAATCTACACAAAGTCCTCATTGTTAGAAGTAACATTCTACTTTAGAGAGACAAACAGCAAATATAAAAATGTGGTGTAATATAATTAAGCAAAGCTATAATTCAGTGTTGATAAAAATTCTATTAAAAATTGAATAGTAATAGATATAGTATTTTAGTTTAGCTTTTTTAGTAGTCTCTGAAGACTACTAAACCTTCAAAGAGAGTTCTAAATGAAGTGAGAGAATGAATCATATGTGAATGTCTGGGAGAAATTTTTCCTAGGCATAACTAAGCACGTGATCCTGAAAATGAGCTATCAGTGGGTATTCTGAACAACAGAGAAAGTAATAAAAATGGAAGCTGAAAGGAGGTGAGGAGCACCAGGGCAAGATGAGTAGTAATGGACTGCATTTAGGTTTTTCAGGGATAGAGGAATGATGTGACTTTATTGATAATCTGGAGGATTCAACTAGGCTGCTGTTGTACCCTTCTGTATTTAGCAGGCCTCTGTACTAAGGCTGAAGCAAGTGGTAACAGTCCAGAATGGTGAAGCTTAGAGTTACAATGTTTTTAAAATTACATTAGGAGGACAATCAATAGACAGACTCAGCAATAAAGACCCTTTTGGATTACTAATTCTGTTTGCACCTTTTAGTCAGTGCTATTAAAGAGCGCTAGAACAGCATCAAAGCTTTGTCAATCTATATTCCTTCACAATATTTTAAAAATAATGATCTTGAAATGGTCCAGAGCTTTGAAGTCTTGAGGAACTCAATTAAAACATACCTCTTTAAAACATGGCCAATGGACATTGTATGAGGATGAAAGTAAAAAATTTATACTGATCATTGCAGCATAACGAGTTCCTCCCGTACCAATCCAAGTAGTTTACAACAGCATTTATTGTCATACACTTTCAATAAATCAAGAATATGATAGTAGCTCAGGTGGGTGGTTCTGGCTCAGTTCTCTTGTGGGTTGCCAATAAGAGTTTAATTTGGGATGGAGTCATTTAAACTTGACTGAAGTTTATTGGCGTAGAAGATCTGTTCCCCAGATATCTCACTCATTTTTGTAAAGAATGCCTCTATTTCTTCCTAATTGTTGGGTGATTTAATTTACTTAATCATATAGGACTTCATATGAGTATTTACAACATGAAGGCTGCCTTGGTCAATAGCAAGTGATCTCAGAAAGCAAGGAAGAAGTACAAGGTCTTTTACAACTCAATCATACCTCATCATGCTTGTCATTTTCTTTTGTTTTTGGGTTTTGCATCACTGAATCCAATCCTACACTAAAGAGGAAGGAGATTTGACTCTTTTGAAGGGAGGATTGGTAGAAACTTTGTTTGTACTTTAAAACATCAGGATATTAAGCCATTTTATAACAATGAATGTATAGATGATATTTAGAGGCACCAACAGTTAATAGGAAGATTTTCACTTATCAACAGAATGATACAAATCCCCTTTTAGTGTGTGTGTGTGTGTGTGTGTTTTACTGGTTATTGAACTCAGGGCCTTTGCACTGAGTTATATCTTCAGCTTTTTAAGTTTTAATTTTGAGACCACAGTCTCACTAAGTCATTGAACTATTCTGGCTGGGCTCAAGCACGTGAATTTCCAGGTTCAGGCTCTCAGAGTGTTGTTACAGGCGTGCGTCACTATATCTTACTTATTTTTCTATGGTAAATAGTTTTGATGAATTAGTTTTCTTTGCTTACAGTACTATGATACTGTACAATACATATGATAATACTGTGGTTGAATATGAGTGGAGTGTGTTCCCAAACAGTTCATGTGCTAGAACCCCAGTCTTCAGGTGTGCAGGGTTGAGAAGTGGAAACTCTGAGAGACGGGGCCTTCTGGCAAGTAGTTCAGTCACTGGACATGCTCCCATCAGGAGGAACCAGTTCGTTCCTGTGAGAATGGATTGTTCTAAAAAGAGTGAGATTGATCTCTGAGTCTCTCTTGCTTCCTGGACCTCCAGGTTGCCTGTCTCTCTAGCATGAACTCCCACTCCCACAACATAAGATACCATTCCTACGTGATAGTGTTGTTGGGCTGCCTTTGCCAGAGCCCAAATAGATGTGGCCACAAGATCTGGGACATTCAAGCTCCAAAACTGTTAGTATATATGTTGCCAAAGTGAGCACTACAAAACTGTAATAAAGTATGCCGTCTCAATATTTTATTATAATCACAGAGAACAAACAGGTATAAATACTTAATATCGCAAAGTAGTTTAAAATGATTAAAATATAATCATTATTCAATTACATTCAACTTAAAATACAGAAAAACACCTCTTTTATCAGTTTTCCAGGGTTGGCACAGAACATTATGGCTGTGTCAAAATAAGTACTGAGTAAGAATATAATTTATTTATGCTAGCATTTTATTCTGGTACTCAGTGATTGAGCTTACAAAGTACCATAAAACTCACCTACATTTTTATTTAAGAGTTCACCCACCAACATTTTTTTTTATCGGTACCAGGGGTTGAACTCACGACCATCTGCTTACAAGGCAGGTGCTTATGCCACTGAGCTAAATCCCCAGCCCCCACCAACATTTTTTAAGCAGCTACTGTATGTAAGTCACTCTGTTAAATACTGTACAAAAATTTCAAAGATGAAATTGAATTATATTGAAAACATGTTTTTCTGAAATAAGTT